ACAGTTAGGCCACCTCTATGCAGATATATTGTATATTGTAATTGTGTCCTTGGTGGCATTGAATTCTTGCCTTGTAAACTGCCTCAAGTCACCGGAAAGCTGAGGGGCGGTATAGAAATGTACTAAATACATACATAAATAAATACCCTCCCTGATTGACTTTGCATCTTAATGGCTACTCAATGCTACTCAAGCTGGTCACTTGCTCTAAACAGACAAGGGTTCTTTCTCCCACCCTGGAAATTATTCCACAGGTGTAGGAAGGTGTGGCTCCACTTGCTTCACTGTCAGCACACTTCTGAGGATGCCATTAGCCACAGATGCAGGTGAAACGTCAGGAGGGAATGCTGCTGAGAAATGACCAGACAGCCTGAAAGATTCACAGCGACCCAGGGAGGGCTTCTTTCCACGCTTGGTCTTGCTGCTGCTCCTTCCAAGCCCCTGGGCTTCCCTTGCAAGGCTTTGGGGCTGTGTCGCTGTCTGAGAAGCCACACACTCCACGGTTGTGTCTTTTGTAATTGAAGCCAATCCAGGTCTGCAGAGTTGTGTGCAAAGACAACTCCGGGGCTGGCTTCCTGCTCAGGCCACAGACGAACTGGACAATGGGGGCTCCAGGCTGAATAATGGGGGGAGCGGTCACTCAGGCGCCAAAGGAGAGTTCCATCCAAGCGTCCATCTGGGAGCGATGCCAAGGGGGATCATCACACACACACACACAAACACACACACACACACAAGCCTGGCAGCCTCATGCCCAGCTCTGCAGGGTTTCTGGGTAAGCAGGACATGAATAATACAGCAAATTATTATTATTATTATTATTATTATCTTTATTTATACCCTGCAAAATCTCCCGAAGGACTCGATGCGGCTTACGAAGGCCGAGGCCGCCAACTACAACATACAATACACAATAAACTCATAAAAATAAAATAAAACTCATAAGCAAATAATAAACCTCAAGCAACAATAAAACAGTCAAACGATGACACCATGACGCAATTTAAAACCTAGAGGCCGGGACAAATGTAATAGACAAAATTTAAATGTGCTGAACTTGACAGGTAATATGTAGAGCTATTTGGAGGTAGGTGCAATGTGCAGATAATCCTGAATCTCTAACCAAGTGCATTTGGGACTTGATGCCGGGAGTTTCCTATTCTGGAAAGGCACACTGGAACAGCCAGGTCTTCAGGCTCTTCCTAAAGACTGCCAGCGTAGGGGCTTGTCCTTGGGGAGAGAGTTCCAGAGTCAGGGGGCCACCACAGAGAAGGCCCTGTCCCTTGTCCCCACCAAACGCGCCTGCGACGCAGGTGCGATCGTGAGCAGGGCCTCTCCAGATGAACAGAGGGATCGTGTGGGTTCGTATACGGAGATGCGGTCACGCAGGTAGGCGGGTCCCAAACCGTTTAGGGCTTTGAAGATGAGCACCTGCACCTTGAATTGGGATCGGAAAATGAATGGCAGCCAATGGAGCTCCTTGAACAGGAAGGTTGACCTCTCTCTGTAAGGGGCCCCAGTTAACATCCTGGCTGCCGCCCGCTGGACTAGCTTAAATTTCCGAGCCGTTTTCAAGGGCAGCCCCACATAGAGCGCATTACAGTAGTCCAGTCTAGAGGTGACTAAGGCATGGACCACCCCGGCCAGATCAGCCTTTACGAGGCAAGGTCACAGCTGGCACACGAGTCTCAGTTGTGCAAAAGCCCTTCCGGACACCGCCGACGCCTGAGCCTCAAGCGTAAGTGACACTCTGTACATGCTCTGGGGATCTGTGGGACCTTCTGTCCACTTCTCTCAGAGACTCTTTTCCCACTGATCCTTCCACACTTGAAATCGAGCAATTTAAAGCGGTCTTGGAAAGTGATAACGAAACCCAAAGCGTTGATACTCAGTCCCATTAAGCGGGTGGGCAATACCAGCAGTGGGTCACCTGTGAATCCGTGCACCTGGCGAGACGAAGATGCTAGCCCAATGTTCCCCCATCAAGAAATCTCACCAAGTTGAAGAAGAAGCCACCGAGGTATTCTATTCATGACAGCGGAAGTGATGCCAGCTCGTGGTAATCCGCCAAAGGAAGCTGAGATGCCATAACATTGAAAAGCAGGCATTTTTATACAGTCAGACCCTTTGAAATTCCCATTCCCGCCCCAGCTGGAGCCAGCTCTGCAGTGATTGGCTGAGCTCCACTGACATCATGAACAGCTGAGGGAGGATTCCCTGCAGAGGCGGGACTGCGGCACCCATCAGCCAATAGGAAAGCGTTCCCTGCTTCCAATGCAGATTCATGCTCTCCAATGGCTGACGAGGGGCAGGCTGATCCGGGAGACAAAGGAAGTATAAAGAGTTCTGAATGGATTATCGGGTCCCAGCGAGATTGCAAATGCAATGGACTGTCGTTCTTCCTCGTCAGATACTATCGGCCCTATTGAATCACTGAGAAGGCTTTGGATGCCATGGTTCCTTCCATAGGGATCCTGGGGATTATAGTTCTGTGACGGCGTGAGTGGCGCCACCTATACATATAACTGTTATTTGCAAGATTTAAACTGTTGTATCATGCTTAATCCTGCCTTTTTACCCTGCCTATGTACAGTTGGATTGATTGGTTATTTATAGCTGTCAATCAATGTTGTTTGCACCAGTTGAATTGCTTGCTCAGCTCAACTGTTTGGCTCCACCTCTTCCTGGAGGAGGGGAGTGCTTCCCTCTTTCATTCCACCATCAGATTTTCTACCAGATGGACGTAAGAGACTTGGCTCTAAAAGCCCCTGATTAAGTTGCCTCTCAGCACCAATTCTGAGGTTCTTACCTTTGAGACTTATGCTTCATGTTCAGATCAACCTGAATGACGTTGGGAAGTCTCAAGCGCCTTCAAACCAGTTCTTTTGGCACCAAAGGAAGACTTTGTGTCTTCAAACATAGGCCATTTGAACTGGGGTTGTGGATTGCTCCGGCATTCACAGCCATTGAGAAAGAGGGACCTGGAAAAGCTTCTCAGCTGCAAAACTCCTTGGACCCAAGACAACCAGAGACTGTAATGTATATTCCCTTCACCCCTTTGAAACTTCCAGCTTATTGCCTTAAAGATATAACTTTTTGTGAACAACAAAACCTATTTTGAGTTATCTATAGTGTTTGGGTCTTTGGGAGTTCCAGTTTCCTAAAGGAGGGCAAGAAGCAATCCCCTGGGGAAAGATGTCACGTCCATACCTCTTTCACTAAGACCTATAGCCCCCAGGCCCTGAACTGGTCCTCCAAGGCAGAGGGACTCTAAATGCCTGGCGAAACTACAAATCCCATAGAACAGGTCCATAAGTGGGATCAAATTGGCTTCACGGTTGTCAAATTCATAGCATAATAATAATAATACTAATAATACTAATAATACTTTATTTAATACCCCGCCACCATCTCCCCAACGGGGACTCGGGGCGGCTTACATGAGGCCAAGCCCAACAGCATATTACAATAAGGTAAAACCAAAACACAATAACAACACAGTAAAACACATACAACATATGAGTACAAAGACAATAAAGCAAAATCATACACAGTAAAATAAAATAATATAACATAACAATGAGCGGGCTGCATGTGTAAGATATTAATCATTATAATAATAATTCCCTTGGGAAGAGCCAGATATCCTGGTACTTGGACTTAATGTGCACGTGTGCTGCGATGTTATGTACCTGTAATAATAATGATAATGATAATAATAATTCCCCTTGAAATGCCATGGCAAATTCACTTGGAATCCCAGGATTTGCACCTTTGGGAGATACAGAATGCCCAGCTAGAGGCCTCTAGTGCTCCTCCAAACTACATATCCCAGGATGCCTAAGGGAAGAGCGTGGCAATTCAAACTACAAGAAAGGAGATTCCATCTGAACATTAGAAGAGCTTCCTGACTGTGAGAGCCGTTCAGCAGTGGAACTCTCTGCCCCGGAGTGTGGTGGAGGCTCCTTCTTTGGAAGCTTTTAAACAGAGGCTGAATGGCCATCTGTCGGGGGTCCTTTGAATGCGATTGTCCTGCTTCTCGGCAGAATGGGGTTGGACTGGATGATGGCCCATCATGTCTCTTCCAACTCAGCTAGGATTCTAGGATTATAATAATAATAATAATAATAAAAGCCAGATTATTATATTTTATTATTATTATTTTAAAAATTATTATATTTATTTATGCCCCACTTTTAATAATATTTATTAGGGCTGGGTAACCACGGAAAAATGTGTTTCTAAACTCGATTTGTTTCCAGGGAGCGCTAGCGTTTCTAAATTCTAAAGACTTCCGAAATTTGAGATTTCAAAGTTTACGAAATTTCGTTAATTTCAAATCGATTCGTTAATGGCGGACGCGATTGCACAATATGCTAAAAAACCCTCCAAATGGGAGAGGGGAACTTCTGAAGCTTCCCTCTCCCTCGGTTGTTGACTGTTGTTGTGATAAAACAAACAACAACTACAAAACCTGCACCAGGCATGCGGAAAAAATGACAAATATAATTACGAAATAAACTGAAAAAATTGTTTCGAATCTAATTTACTCCTCAGACTATTCCTGCATGGCTCAATATCGGATCGTAAGCTAATTTAAATACGAATTAATAACGAATTACGAAATTAAGGGACGAAACCGCCCAGCCCTAATATTTATTTGTACCCCGCTATATGGTCAGGGTCTGCACTGACCATTTAACGCGATTCCAAACTGCCTTAACGAGCAGTGCAGATCCAGCTTAAAGTGGGATCATAATGCCAACAGGCCAGTCTGAGCCACGTGCAAAGAAAGGCACTGCTTGTTTTGGTCCGGGCAAAAAGAGGGCGCATGCGCAGTCGGCTCCCTCTAGCGGTGAGAAGCACGAATACACCCCAACCGAGTAATCCCCAATGTGGTTTGAGCACCAAAGAGAGCGCATGCGCAGAGCCAGCTCCCTCTAGCGGTGAGAAGCACGAACACACCCCAGCCGAGTAATTCCAAATGTAGTTCGGGATACCAAAGAGAGCGCATGCGCAGATCCGGCTCCCCCTAGCGGTGGGAAAGAGGACGATGTCATTCCTTGGCTCAACGCTCGGATCTCTATTGAGGAAGGAACCGGAAGTGCGCTGCCAGCGTTTCCGGCCGTGCCTCTTTCGAGGTTGGACCAAGATGGCGGCGCTTGGGACATTCCGGTAGCGCGTGGGAGGCGAAGGAAGGCAGGCAGGCAGGCAGGCGCGTGGAGGCATGGCGTCGGCGGCGGGGAGGACGGTGCTGGTGCGTGGGCTGCCGGCTTCGGCGAAGGGCCCGGACCTGGAGCGGGAGTTCGGCCGCGTGGGGCCTGTGCGCAGGGCCGTGGCCGTCACCAAGCCCGGTGAGAGGACAGGAAACAAGGCCCTCCCTCCGGGTGTTTTGGACTACAACTCCCACAATAAGTCCTAACCAAACAGTTGGTAGTCTCTCATCTGGTATCAGCCATGGATGGAGCTGCTGGGTTTCAGCCTGCCACTTTTGGACTCTCGCTTGCTGAGATGATCCAGCGTGTGCCTCTGTAGATCTTAGAAAACTATTTCTAGATTTAAGGCATTGGCGTGCTGGCTGACATCCAAACAGGGGATATGTATATGTTTTTTTTTTACAGTTTTACAATATTGTGTTCTATTGATACTGATATTATCTGAATCTGGCGTTGAATTGTCGAAGGCTTTCATGGCCGGAATCACTGGGTTGTTGTAGGTTTTTTCAGGTTATATGGCCATGATCTAGAGGCATTCTCTCCTGACGTTTCGCCTGCATCTATGGCAAGCATCCTCAGAGGTAGTCAGGTCTGTTGGAACTAGGAAAATGGGTTTATATATCTCTGGAATGACCAGGGTGGGACAAAGGACTCTTGTCTGCTGGAGCTGGTGTGAATGTTTCAACTGACCACCTTGATTAGCCTGGCAGTGCCTGGAGCAAACTTTTGTTGAGAGGTGATTAGATGTGCCTGATTGTTTATTTATTATTTATTTATTTACTTTGGTTATATACCGCTGTTCTCAGCCCAGGGGCGACTCACAGCGGTGTACAACATAGGAAGAACAAAATTCAAAATTCAAGACACAGTATAAAATAATTCACAATCCAGCATTAAGCAAAAAAACCATCGTCATTACTATGAAAACTCTCTGTTGTTTTACTGTTGTAATTTCAGAGGTTTTTTAAAATACTGGTAGCCAGATTTTGTTCATTGTTCATTTTCATGTTTTCCTCCTTTCTGTTGAACTTGTCCACATGCTTCTTGTGGATTTCAATGGCTTCTCTGTGTCACCTGACATGGTGGTTGTGAGAGTGGGCCATACAAACAATCTACAGACCCACCAAGAAAATCCAACAAATGCTACGTTCAGCAAAGGACAAGAGGGATCCTCTCACCTCTGCAGGAGTCTACCATTGTATCCCATGCAGCTGTGGACAAGAAGTCTCCAGAGGGACCACCAAACGCAGCATTGCCCAAGCACGAATCAAGGCACATGAAAGGCACTGCAGACTACTTCAACCAGAGAAATCAGCCAGAGCAGAGCACTTGATGAACCGACCTGGACACAGCATATCATTGGAAATGCTGGACCACTCTCACAACCACCAGGTCAGGCTACACAGAGAAGCCATTGGCATCCACAAGAAGCATGAGGACAATGTCAACAGAAAGGAGGAAACAATGAAAATGAACAAAATCTGGCTACTAGTATTAAAAAACTCTAAAATTACAACAGCACAACAACAGACAGGAAACAAACAAGGACATCTAATCACCTCTCAACAAAACTTTGCTCTAGGCACTGTCAGGCTATTATATGCTAATCAAGGTGGTCAGTTGAAACATTCACACCTCGCTCCAGCAGACAAGAGTTCTTTGTCCCACCCTGGTCATTCCACAGATATATAAACCCTTTTTCCCAGTTCCAACAGACCTCACTACCTCTGAGGATGCAGGCGAAACGTGAGGAGAGAATGCCTCCAGACCATGGCCATATAGCCCGAAAAAACCTACAACAACCCACTGGTGTTGAATTATTGCCATAATTTGTAAGCTGCCCCGAGTCTTCCTTCAGAGTGAGAAGGGCAGGGTATAAGTACAGTAAATAAATAAATACATTTATTTATTTATCTATCTATCAGGAGCGAACCAAACAGTTGGTAGTCTCTCATTTGTTACCAGCCATGGATTGAGGTGCTGGATTTGAGCCTGCCACTTTTGGACTCTCGCTTGCTGAGTTGATCCAGAGAATGTCTTTGTAGATCCTAGAAAACTATTTCTTGATTGAAAGTGTTGGCGCGCTGGCTGATATCCAAACAGGGGATATTGGTTGCTACTTCCCGGCGATGAGTTGCTAACCTTTGGCCCCTGCTTGCCCCTCTCTCTGATAGGCAGTGAAGCCTGTCGTGGCTTTGGATTTGTCACGTTCTCCTTGCCAGAAGATGCCCAGAGAGCCATCCAGGAGGTCACCTCTTTTGGGAACCGCAAGATCAGCGCAACGATTGCCAATCCAAAACCCAGGCAGAAAGGGAAGAAGAAAGCCGGTAAGCATAAGTGCCTTCATTGTTTCCTGCCTTTGGCACTTGCAAGAGTTGGTGTTCTTGGAATGGGACACACGAATGATGCTTCTTTCCAGGCAGTCTCTTCAGCTCTGTCGTTTCCAGTGGCCAAAATAATGCCCTTCTTGCCACGTTTTGCTGTTTCTTCTGGGTGTTTCTGGCCAAGAAGATTAGTTCAGAAGATTTGGTGACAAAAAATGGTTGAGACAAATAGCTGGAGCCACGTGTTGAGCTGTTTGTTAGGAGATAGATTGGGGGCACAGAGAGCAAATAAACAGGCAGAGTATTGTAGTGGTGAGACAAACTGCCTTGTGGTTTGGTGAGATTTCCTTCTGGGTGGGTTTTACATCACTTCTGTGGGATAAAATGTCAGAGATACTTCTTCCCAAAATGGCATCAAGGGACTTGCTCCTGGGTCTCATGCCAGGGGTGCCGCTTTGTTTACGGGCTTTGTATGTGCTTGTGTTTGTGTTTATTGGAATGTTATTTTGTTATTGTATTCATATGGTTTTTTAATGCAATTTTGATACTGTTGCTTGTTGCTTATGTTTTGGTTTTATTTTGCTGTAATATGTTGTCCGGTCTTGGCCTCATGTTAGCCGCCCCGAGTCCCCGTTGGGGAGATGGTGGCAGGGTGTAAATAAAGACCATTATTACATTTATTATTATGGCATTGCACCTTCCCTCCCGGTGTGACCTGCTGATGTGTCTTCTTGGTTTTAGAGGCTTCTGAAGGTTCCCAGGAAGCGCAGAAGCCGCCAAAGAAGAAAGGAGCGTCAAAGAAGGCCAGGCTGATCATTCGCAACCTGAGTTTCAAGGTAGGAGCAAAAGGCAGAGGAGTCTCATAGAATCAAAAAGTTGGAAGAGACCTCATGGGCCATCCAGTCCAACCCCATTCTGCCAAGAAGTAGGAATATTATTATTGTGTGTGGGGTATTATTGTGTGGGGGGCAGGTAGAAGTGGGGGTCCCCTCTGTTGTTGTTATATTTTTAGATCTCTTTCCTGTCTTAAAACAAGACTCAAAGTGGCTCCCAACACTATAAACATTAAAATAGAATCAAACATGGAATTGTTGGGAAATCACATATAACCATTAAGAACTGTTAACATAATTCCAACATAACACAGCCTCCCCTGGGTGATGCCCAGTTCTGTTTGCGTGAATTAGGGCCATTTCAGGGTCGTAAAACACCTCCCCCACTTTTAGCGGTACCTAATTTCTCTAATTACAGCTAAAGCTGTTTTCGAACTGCTTAGGTAAACAGTGAGCAGAGCTGACAGTCGACCGCTCACGCCAACCCGGGGCTTCAAACTTGCAACCTTTTGGTTGACAGATCTCCTAGTTGCTGGTGATTTATCAGTTGTGCTAAACCTCCTTTTTTTCTGCTAATGCACCTTCTGGCATTGACGTTCTTTCTTTTGTTCTTAGTGCACAGAAGAAGACCTGAAGGGTGTCTTTTCTCCATTTGGGACTGTGCTGGAAGTCACCCTCCCCAGGAAACCAGGTATGGTTGGCTGGAGCAAGGGGGGGGGGGGCGGATGGAAAGCAGCCAAGAGTTCACTAGTGTCCTAGGTCAAGATGGCTGCCAGAGGGAAGGTGCTGCTGGGTGTTAGTTTTCAGGGTGTGAATGATGGAGAGCGCAATCCCATAGGGATTCATGGCAGCCAACAACCACGCAATCTAATAAAAATTAAAACAAAGCCAATTAAATATCAATGTACTAGTTTAAAGTTAAATCCAAATAATAAAATACATTAAATACTCTGTGTGTGTGTGTGTGTGTATGTACACACACACACACACACACATATATATATTACGGTCAATGACCAGCACCAAAAAATGAACTAAATACAATTAAAATTACATTTAGAACTCACCACCCCCAGCATCCTGCTTCTAGTTTAAAGTTAAATCCAAATAATAAAATACACTAAATCTCTATAAATAAAAATGTAATGTTTGTTTGTAGGATGAACATAACACAAAAACCACTGGGTGAATTGACATCAAATTTGGACACAAGACACCTACCAGTCCAGGGAGTGACCATCACTCATAAAAACACTGAAAAACACCACAGAAGAGACTTTAAGAGCCCCAAAAAATGCATTGAAATGCACGCTCAAAACAACATATTTACACATATATGCAAATATATATACACACACACATATATAAATATATACACACACAAAATACATATACACAGACTGAGCAGGAGATGGCTAGTAATATATATATATATATATATATATATATATATATGGTATTTAGTGTATTTTATTATTTGGATTTAACTTTAAACTAGAAGCAGGATGTTGGGGGTGGTGATTTTTAAAGGTAATTTTAATTGTATTTAGTTCATTTTTTGGTGCTGGTCATTGACCGTAATATATATGTGTGTGTGTGTGTGTGTGTGTGTGTGTGTATATACATGCACACACATACACACACACACACGCTTCTAGTTTAAAGTTAAAGCCAAATAATAAAATACACTAAATACACCCTCAGCGTCCTGCTCCTTGTATGATACTGCTAGAGAACGAACACAGAATCTCCAGGCATTTTAAGGAACATACCTGGACTGATGACATATATAGATCCCTGCGTTTCCTGTGCGAACTATGAATCCCAAAATCTGGGGACAAGATCCTCTTCTGAGCCCCCTTTTCCACAATTGGCTGTTGGAAGCATGTTGAGGACTCTGAGCCAGGCCTGTTGCTTCTCTTGCCTTCCTTCGTGCCTTCCTGATTTGCTCTGCATACTCAGAGGGATCGCAGCCTGAGAAGCCGGTGTTCTGATGGAACCCGAGGCAGTCCTCATCAAGGATGCTGGGCTTTGGAGTTGATTTCCATCTTCTGGTTGTGCCATCCCTTTCATAACAGAGTGCTCTTCTCTTCCAGATGGAAAGATGCGTGGCTTTGCCTTTGTGCAGTTCAAAAATATCCTGGAAGCAGGGAAGGCCCTGAAGGGGATGAACATGAAGGAGATCAAGGGTGAGTCCCGAGGGTTTCCTTAAAGGGGGAGGTCAGTAGCTGGCCCTCGGTGGGCCCCCACCCTTGAGGCTTCCGGGTTGAGGCCTCCCTCTCCGTGTGGGTGATGCTGGGAGATACATAGAAGGATCCAGAGGCCTGGCAAACACTGGCCTGGAAGTGGCTCTGGTTCAGACACCGGTTTGCTGGGCTTCTCAGTCTGAATATGTTAGACCTATACCCAACTTCCTGGGGGTCCTTGCCTTTGGGGGCGGGACAATGCATTATGGGAAGAAGGCCTTTTTTGTTGCCTCCATTTGCAGAGGCCAGTTGGCTCTGACACTGGTGTCATTCTGGGGGGCTGGAATGCAGCCCTTTAAGTCTTTGGGGCTAATTGTTTCATCCAGAAGTTAGTGGCAAATTTGGAAGGAGTTTTGCACGTTTTTAGAATGTTTACATGATTTTTTTGAATATGTTTTTATTCGCTTCAACAACAAAAAATTGTTGTTTTTAATTTGTTTTTACATTGTTTTAAATTGTGTTTAAATTGTGTTAGATTTTAGCCTGTTCTTGTAAGCCGGGATTGCACCAGGATTGTGGCGCAGCTGGCTGAGTGTCAGCTGCATTAAGATCACTCTGACCAAAAGGTCATGAGTTCGAAGCCAGCCCACGTTGGAGTGGGTTTCCAACCAATTGTGTGTAGCCTGTTGTCGACCTTTGCAACCCGAAAGACAGTTGCATCTGTCAAGTAGGAAAATAAGGTACCACCTTAYAAGTHTGGGGAGGKTAAATTAACTGATTTATGAGGCCATAAAGAAGACTCCAGCAAAGCATTCCAGTGGGGAAGCATGCGGGGAATGCGGAAGTGCTTCATCAGCCCGGGTTGGAGTGGGTTTCCAACCAATTGTGTGTAGCCTGTTGTCAACCTTTGCAACCCGAAAGACAGTTGCATCTGTCAAGTAGGAAAATAAGGTACCACCTTAAAGTGTGGGGAGGCTAAATTAACTGATTTATGAGGCCATGAAGAAGACTCCAGCAAAGCATTCCAGCGGGGAAGCATGCGGGGAATGCGGAAGTGCTTCATCCGCGTCGRAGATAGACGATGAAAGCGACAGCTCCCCTGGCGGCCAGAAAAAAAAGTTAAATAGCCTCTGTGTATGTCTGTATATGTTTGTATGTCAAAATTGGCATCGAATGMTTGCCATATATGTGTACACAGTAATCCYCCCTGAGTCCCCTGCGGGGTGAGAAGGGTGGAATATAAAAGCTGTAAATAAATAAATAAATAAATAAAATAAACTGCTTAGGGTCCCCCAAGGGGTGAGAAAAGTCATATATAAATACTGTAAATAAATAAATAAATAAATTGATTTTATTGTAAAAGTTAGATGATATTATTATTATTATTATTATTATTATTATTATTATTATTACTATTGTTTGAGACACAACAAGATGAGTCCACAGCAGACACTCTGCTGGCTGTTGAATTGGATCACACATTATTATTATTATTATTATTATTATTATTTACAGTATTTATATTCCGCCCTTCTCACCCCTCAGGGGACTCAGGGTGGATTACAATGTACACATACATGACAAACATTCCATGCCATAGACACACAACATATATAGACAGGCACAGAGGTAATTTAACATTCCAGCTTTTTCTTGAGGGTATTCTGGCCACAGGGGGAGCTGTCCCTTTACCAACCATTTGTGACACTGATGAAGTACTTCCTCATTCTTTGCATGCTCGCTGAAAATTTTTATGGCCTTGTAAATTAGTTAAATTAAGCCTCCCCGCATAAGCAGTACCTAAATTTCCTACTTGACAGATGCAACTGTCTTTTGGGCTGCAAAGGTGGACAGCAAGCTATACAAAATTGGTCAGAAGCTCACTCCAACCTGGGCTGGCTTTGAACTCATGACCTTTGGGTCAGTAGTGATCTTAATGCAGCTGACTGCCAGGCAGCGGCACCACAGTCCCGGTGCCTTAACAAACTGGATGGTATGAGGGAGGTGTGTGTGAGTATGTACAAATAAACCATGCAATCTTATGTGCAAGGGCTTTGAACATTTTCTCAGCCTGAGGGTGGAGTGGCCACGTAGGATCTCAGACGTCCTGAGCATCTCCTGGCCCCTGTTTCCTCACACACACACATACACCCAGCTATGTCTTGTGTGCCCTTGAATCCCAGCCACCGGTGGGTCTTAAGTCAAGCCGGCCTTTCTTCTTCCCATTCCCTTCCCAGAGCGTCCGGTGGCCGTAGACTGGGCTGTGGCCCGAGAGAAGTACCAGGCCATGCAAGCGGCAGCCTCTCCAGCCGGTAAGTACCATCTGCTTCTGCTTGATCTGCTTTGAGGGGCAGTATGATTGACCTCTGAACCCTGGAAGTGATGGTGAGGAGAAGGCAGGGAGGTGATGGAGCTCAGCCTGTGCTTGTGTTTCAGGATCAGGATGCTTTGGATGTGGGGAGTGATGGCAATGAGTTTCAAGATGGCAATGGTTTGGTCAATGATATTGATGCAGAGAATGACCAAGAGATCCCTGTTCAAAGTGTAGTTTCCCATGAGAATGCCCCTGACGGGTGAGGGGATGGTGGTGTACTCCCTGAATTGCTACCAGAGAGTTCCCAGGATTTGGAGCTTGAAAACAACTCGTCACTTGGTGCAGCTGCAGAAATTAATGAGCAAATAGATAGAGGGCAGGAGATTAGTCAAAACAGAAGAGCCGAGCAATGGCTTCTGCGTTCTGCCAGGCTCCGACAGAAAAAGATAAGGGAATCTCAGCTAAAGTGAAACCAATTTCTGAGTGCTTGGGATAGCTGAACGAGGGGATAAAAGTTAAAAGTGTGGGAAACATAGCCAGATGAAGCATCGTTTGGAATCAAGTTCTTGTCCTTGTTTCATGGAAGCCTTGCTTGGAAGATTCATGCTTAAGTAGTTCTTGTTTCATGGTTTGAATTCTTGGATTTTATGATTGCATACACGTGCCTTGGATTATTGTTTCATGGTTTTCTGGATTTTATTAGGGAAGTGAGGACTTTGCTCTCATGGTCTTTGCTGAACTTTTCCCTGGACTATTTTGTTCCTGCTTATCTTCTTACCTAATTGGATTTCCCTATTTCTTTAAAGTGCTTTCTACTTTTGCTGCTTTTTAATTATCTTCAATAAAAGGATTGTTTCCCTATTCAACGGTGTGGTGTTTAAAGTCAGAGGGCTTTTCCTGTCCTGGAGTGCAACAGGAGGGGACAGCCCTCAGCTGCAGGTATTTCCTGCCTCAAAAGCAAAAGGGCTTGAAATACAAAAGGGCCATCTCCGCCTCACGCTTCCCCTCTATTCTGCTTTGGTTAGACCACATCTGGAATATTGTGTCCAATTCTGGGCACCACAATTCAAGTGTCATTTGGGAGTTGTAGTTGCTGGGATTTATAGTTCACCTATAATCAAGGAGCATTCTGAACCCCACCAAGGATGGAATTGGGCCAATCTTCCCATACAGAACCCCATGACCAAGAGAAAATACTGTGTTTTCTGATGGTCTTTGGCGACCGCTAGGCGCCTGTTATGAAACACTGCAAAAAGACAATATATATTAGAACCCTTTGCAAGACAAGTCTCGGAGCAACTTCATCATCCGTTTATGGCTAGCCAAGGCAAACAAACTTTTCACAAACATCAAAAGCACATTATATTTGGAAGCCAAGACGCACAGATCCAAAAATTTAGAAACAACTAGCTGTCCCCTGCCATGCGTTGCTGTGGCCCAGTCTGTGTATATGTGTGTGTATATATGTGTGTGTATGTATGTATATATATGGGTATATATATGTATATATATGTGTGTGTGTATATTTGTGTATTTGTGTGTTTATATGTGTACATGCATATTGTGTATACACGTGTGATTGTCTATGCATATTTGTGTGTATTGCATTCAAATCACCCCTGACAGATGGCCACCCAGCCTCTGTTTCAAAGCTTCCAAAGAAGGAGCCTCCACCACACTCCGGGGCAGAGAGTTCCACTGCTGAACGGCTCTCACAGTCAGGAAGTTCTTCCTCATGTTCAGATGGAAATTGGACGGAAGGAAGGAAGGAAGGGAAGAAAGAGGGAGGGAGGGAAGGGAGGAAGAAAGGAGGAAAAGAAGGAGAGAAAGAGGGGGGAAGGTTGGCCACAGCAATGCATGGCGGGTACAGCTAGTTGGATAATAAAAATGTATAATATCACCCTGATTATTATTATTATTATTATTATTATTATTATTATTATGCATTTCTATCCTTATTATTATATGCATTTAAACCCTGCTTATTATTATTATTATGAATTTCTATCCTTGTTATAATAATAATAACTATTACTATATGCATTTATACCCTGATTATTATTATTATTATTATGTATTTCTATCATTATTATTATATGCATTTATATCCTGCTTATTATTATTATGTATTTCTATCCTTGTTATAATAATAATAACTATTACTATATGCATTTATATCCTGCTTATTATTATTATTATGTATTTCTATCATTATTATTATATGCATTTATATCCTGCTTCTTCTTCTTCTTCTTCTTCTTCTTCTTATTATTATTATTATTATTATTATTATTATTATTATTATGTATTTCCATCCTTATTATTATTATTATATGCATTTATACCCTGCTTATTATTGTTATTATTATATTTATGTATTTCTATCCTTGTTATAATAATAACAATTTTATATGCATCTATACCCTGCTTATTATTATTATATGTATTTCTATCCTAATAATAATAATAATAATAATATGCATTTATACCCTTATTATTATTATTATTATTATCATTATCATCATGTATTTCTATCCTAATTATAATAATTATTATTATTATATGCATTTATACACTGCTTATTATTATTATTATTATTACATGTATTTCTAACCTGAGTATAATAATTAATTAATTATATGCATTTATACCCTTTATTATCCTTATTATTATCATTATCATTATTATGTTTTTCTATCCTTATTATTATTATATGCATTTATACCCTGCTTATTATTATTATTATTATCATCACTATTATTATTATGTAATTTTATCCTGGTTATAATAATAATTATTATTATATGCATTTATACACTGCTTATTTTTATTTTTATATGTATTTCTATCCTGATTATAATAATAATTAATTATATGCATGTATACCCTTTATTATCCTTATTATTATTATGTATTTCTATCCTTATTTATTTATTTATTTATTTACTTCATTTGTATACCGCATTTATCAGCCTAGGACGGCGACTCAATGCGGTTTACAGTAAAATGTGCAACACTGACAATATATAAAACAGACATACACAGACAACACACATATAGTCATCAACGCCTCAAATAGAATCAGATCCCGTTCTCACAGTCGTTTTACCGTTCCTTGTTCAGTATGCCGTCTTCCTGAGTTAGTTGTAATTGCATAATTAACTGAACGCCTGTTCATAGAGCCACGTCTTAACCCTCCTCCTAAACGCCAATAGCGAAGGGGCCTGTCTGATGTCCGCGGGTAGGGCATTCCATAGCCGAGGGGCCACCACCGAGAAGGCCCTGTCTCTCGTCCCCGCCGCCGCACTTGTGATGCTGACGGGACCGAGAGCAGGGCCTCCCCGGACGATCTTAACGTCCTCACCGGTTCATAGGTGGAGATGCGTTCGGAGAGGTAAGTGGGGCCGGAACCGTGTAGGGCTTTATAGGCTAAAGCCAGCACCTTGAATTGTGCCCGGTAGCAAATTGGCAGCCAGTGGAGCTGGCTCAACAGAGGAGTGGTGTGCTCCCTGAGTGCCGCTCCCGTTAGCAACCTGGCTGCCGAACGCTGGACCATCTGAAGCTTCCGGGCAGTCTTCACGGGCAACCCCACGTAGAGCGCGTTGCAGTAATCTATGCGGGATGTGACAAGAGCGTGGACTACCGTGGCCAAGTCCGACTTCCCAAGATACGGGCGCAGCTGGCGCACGAGCCGAAGCTGTGCAAATGCTCCTTTGGAAACCGCTGAAACTTGGGGTTCCAAGCTTAGCGAAGAATCCAGAGTCACACCCAAGCTGCGAACCTGCGTCTTCAGGGGGAGTGCGACCCCGTCCAGCACAGGCTGTAACCCTATACCCTGTTCGGCCTTCCGACTGACCAGGAGTACCTCTGTCTTGTCTGGATTGAGTTTCAATTTGTTCACCCTCATCCAGTCCGACACAGCGGCCAAGCACCGGTTCAGGACCTGGACAGCCTCCTTAGTAGTAGGTGGAAAGGAGTGACAGAGTTGGACGTCATCTGCGTACAGATAACCCCGCACCCCGAAACTCCGGATGATCTCTCCCAACGGCTTCATGTAGATGTTAAATAACATGGGGGACAATATTGAACCCTGCGGGACCCCACAAGTCAATGGTTGTGAGGACGAGCAGTTGTCCCCCAGCAACACCTTCTGGGTACGATCCTCTAGGAAGGACCTGAGCCACTGTAAGACAGTGCCCCCCAGGCCCATTCCCACTTTCCCATTATATTTTTATTTGTATAGATTATTGTATTGTCGGAAGGCTTTCATGGCCCGAATCACTGGTTTGTTGTAGGTTTTTTCGGGCTATATGGCCATGTTCAAGAGGCATTATTATTATTACTATTATTGTTGTTGTTGTTGTTGTTGTTGCTGATAAGTGATAATACAGAACAGAATGCTTTGTAAACATGAGCAGGAATTGCCAGACTCTTCAGACCTGGAGAGACAGGTCTCTGCTACTGACCGCTCTCTGCTTGCAGGTACTTTGAGAAACCAGTCCCACCAGCGGAGAGCGAGGAGGAGGAAGAAGAGGAAGAAGAGGAGGAAGTGCCCCACAAGGCCAAGCACTCTGAGGAATCGGAGCCTGAGAGCTTTGGGGAAGGAGGACGACCTCCGGATCGAGGCCTTTGAGGGCGACTCAGAGGAGGAGGAAGAGGAAGAAGAAGAAGGTGGGATTGGGCTTTCCTGAGGGGCCAGGCAGGTCTCTGGTGCATGGGGCAAGCACTGTTGGGCCCTTTGAAAGGCTTTACCCCAGAAGAGCCTTGCTGCCTTGGGCCAAAACCCTCCTTAATCCTTTGGCCCAAGGGCAGAACTGATCGCAATCCCGCAGGGAGGGATATCTCTCTCTGGTTTGCCTCTAGACTTGGGGGTTCAGTTGCAGTCCCATTACTGGCAATGAAGTGACTGGAATAGAGGTCTGTTGTGGTTGTGGTCCCATTCTCCATTTGCTTTAAGCCACTCCATTGACTGACCTCTCCCTCCCCTCCAAAAAGCAAAGGTGTTGACCTATACTGGCCTCAAGGACTTTTTATGGGGAGGGTGGAACTGGAACGATGGTCCAGGAGCAAAATAAGTGGGGTTTGTCATCTGAACCTCTTCCTGGAAGCGGACCTCCGGCCTTGAACCTTTCAGGCAGCAAGACGTTCTCATTGGTGGGCGGTTTTGGCATTTAAATGCAAGGCACCATTTGGAAGCACAGCAGGATGAGTCCTGGTTGGCACTGAGATGGGAGACTGCTGAGCAATCTCAGGTAGTGTAATAATAATAATAATAATAATAAAATAAACCTTTATTTATACCCCGCTACCATCTCCCGGAGGACTTGGTGCGGCTTACAAGAGGCCGAGCCCACATACATCAGTAAAAACAACAACAATAACAATGCAACAACAAATGTACTCAAAACAAAGCAATAAACATTAACAACATACCACAACGCATTAAAATCCATGGCAGGGCCAAATGTAATAATTAAAATTTAAAAATATGCTGGACATGACCAGGTGAGAAGATGAAAAGGATAGGTATTTGGAGGGGGATGGGGCGTGCAGATTTCCTAGATCTCTAGTAAAGTGCATTTGGGGACATCTTGCTTGGAGTTTCCTTATTCTGGGAAGGCACACTGGAACAACCATGTTTTCAAGCTCCTCCTGAAAACTGCCAGCGTTGGGGCATGCCTGATGTCCTTAGGGAGAGAGTTCCAGAATCAAGGGGCCACCACTGAGAAGGCCCTCGGTGGTGGACATGTTTCAGATGAAGGAACTGGCAGAGCCATCTCTGGGGATTCCTGGCCTTAGAAAACCCTAGAGAATTCAAGGGGTCTCCCTCGGTCAACAGGTGACTTGAGGACACATGTAACATGGCCTGTGCTAGTTCCTGTGGTGTCATTTGTGCAAACATTTGCCTTTGGAGCAGAGAGCTTTGAGCCCCAATGGAGTGACTTCCCCCTTCCTTCCTTCCTTCCTTCCTTCCTTCCTTCCTTCCTCTTCCTTCCTTCCTTCCTTCCTGTTTCAGATGCAGAAGCCCCTTCAAAGCCCAAGAAGGGCCGGAAGAAGCTCCCTTCGGACGTCAACGAAGGGAAGACAGTCTTCATCAGGTGGGTTTGGGGCTCTGGGCCCAGGGTGGAGGTCTCAGCTGATGTCAGACTGTAGGATCTATATAGCAATATTAAATGATCACTCACAAGCCGGTTTTGCGTTGAAATGAATATATTGCTTGTATCTCTGCAGCAAAGAAAGACACTACTGACTTTTCCCACCACCACTTCCTTTTATACACCTTTCCTGCCCATCTCCCCCTCTTCTCAGTTTCCTTATTAGAGATTGTTGCTTCACAAGTTCCAATACAAGGTTTCCAGCGCTTCAAAATGTCACAGAGAGAGAATTGAGTCAGCCAGGTTGATTCAGTCAGGATGTCATGGAGGGAATTTGTGATGTCTTATGCCATCAGAAATTGACTCCTGACAGCTGAGCCCCAGGAGGCGACATCAAATGTGAAGGAACAATAGGACAGGATTGCAGCAATTGGCGAAACAGGGCTGATCCTAATCCCAGGCCTCCTCCCTGCTTCTCTCTCCTCCAGGAACCTCTCCTTCGACACAGAAGAGGAGGAGCTGGGGGAGCTGCTGGAGCCCTTTGGGGACCTCAAGTACGTGCGGATCGTGATGCACCCCGACACCGAGCACTCCAAAGGTCAGGCGGGCGGGTGGGCGGTGGCCAAAGTGTGCATGTGTGTGCCGGGCGCCAGATGTATAATATCCTCAGCATCTGCGTGTCGTGGCATAAACTTTTGATTTTTTTTGTCTTCACAGTTCTGTTATTTAGTTAAAATACTTGCCTCCCACCATATTATTTATTACTATTTATTTATTCGAAACATGTATATTCCGCCCTCCTCACCCCAACTCATGGTGGAGCACAACATCTATACGGCAAGCATTCAATGCCAAGACATAAAACCATAAATATATACAAACATCAAAATCACTTCTATCCACTTTGAAATCAGTTGCTTCAAAGCCACCTCAGGACTGTTATTGCTCATGGCAATCAGGTGTCAGGGTGGCATGCAAAAATAGCAAAACCCCACTTGAATTAGTTTAAAAACTGAAAGTGGTACAAGTACACACATATTAAACAATCTGACTAATTAAATCAAACATTTTGAAACGAGTGCATGTTTGGAAATTTGGGGCCTGGTGTTGCTTTTTGAAAATAAAAATGCATGGTTTGCTGGGTGCCATAAGAATACCAGTGTGCACACACAGACATATACAATACAAATTTATTTATTTATTTGACCAGTCATATGACCATTTTAAAATACAGCATAAAAGACAAGGCAAAAAGGACAAGACAGCAGCTGACCTTCTATTGACAGTCAGAATCTTATTTTCCTGGTTTCTTCTTTCAGGAAATATGCTATTTTCTTGATAGCTTTCAGACTAAAAAGGCTGACTCTGATTATGGTGGATCTTTCCTGTCCTTAGGTCCCCCATTTCTGTTGGGGGACCTAAAGTTGAATAATATTGGATGTAAATATCTGTATCGCAGTTCAGCATATGCTGGACAGTCAATCAAGAAATGTTCGATATCTTCCACAGTTTGTTCTCCCCAGACGCAGAATATCTCACTTCTTGGGATGTTACAGTAGTGCCCGGTTTGCATCATGATACCGAGTTGTTCAAACCTGACCCTAGTATATATTCTTCTTAAGGGTTGCAGAAGTGGAATACTCAGAGAGTGATCTAAATGAATATTCCTTTTGTGGGAAGCTAAAAACCTTGTGGCAGAAGACTTACCCATGCTTGCTAGTGTCAGACTGTAGGATCTATATAGCAATATTAAATAACCACTCACAAGCCGTTTTTGCTTTGAAGTGGATATATTGCTTGTATCTCTGCAGCAAAGAAAGATACTCATGAATGTTTCCCACCTCTACTTCCTTTTATACACCTTTCCTGCTCATCTCCCCCTCTTCTCAGTTTCCTTATGAGAACTTGTTGCTTCACAAGTTCCAATACAAGGCTTCCAGCGTCCTCTGCTGGCTTCAAAATCTCACAGAGAGAGAACTGATTCAGTCAGGATGTTACGGAGGGAATTTGTGATGTCTTTATGCTGTCAGAAATTGACTCCTGACAGCTAGGCCCAACTGAGCGTAGATATCTCGAGTGCGTTGCATGAGCACTTGTTTTGCCCTAGGTCCTAGATTGTTCAAAAATTGTAAAGGCAGGCCAGTTTTAGCCAACTCATTATTTAGAGCCACTATCCATGATGTCTTTTGGTCACCCTGGACTTGATCCTCTAGCATAGGCGAGGCACAGACATATACACATAAACAAGGAGGAAAGGTCTTGGTGGCTGAGTGTGTGATGCCTCCTGCCTCGCTCCAAAATGTGTTTCCAGCCTTGCTGTGGTTTCCATTTGCTCCCTCTGTGCCTCAGTCTCTCTCCTTTCTCCTCTTCTGCAGGTTGTGCCTTTGCCCAGTTCCTGACCCAGGAAGGCGCCCAGAAATGCCTCCAAAAGGCCCAGGACGAGAGCGAGGTGAGGCCCTCGAGGTAGTTGCAAGGGGCACCCAAGGAACACCCAGTCCTGCCCTCTCCTCAAAGCGCTCCAAGCAGGTGGCCACCCTATGCTTGTGTTGCACTCCAGAACAGGAAATGGCCCCTCTGACTATAAGCACACCACACGTTGAGTGAAGGAACAATCCTTTTTATTAAAGCTTAGCAAAAAAAAAGCCTGTAGAAATAAATGCTTGTAAAGATAGATAAAATTCCAAAAAACAATAAGGCATTCAAAGGCAGCAAGAAGACACGGTGTCCAAACGTAGCAATCAAAAGCAATGTTTAAAAGGCATAAAATATAATCCAAGGCACTGATAATCCAGACAGGAATCAACCAAGGAGCAAGAACATACCGGACGCTGCTAGTCAAGTTGAAAGGCTAGGAAAAAAACATGAAGACGAGACCACTTGACCAGGAATTCCATGAGACTTGTCCTATGTTTCCAAACGATGCCTGATCTGACAAGAGTTTCTACAGGCAAACCTTAAATCCCAAGAACTGGTTTCGTTATCCCCCAGTCTTTGACTTTAATTGACGAATTCTTTCGGGTCTACATAAACACTAGGCGTCTTGTCGAATTCTGGCTAATCTCCAGCTGCCGACTCTGCTTATCTGAGTCTTCATTAACTTTAGCAGGTGCCAGGCTGTTTTCCAAACTAGAATCTGGAGAGCTCACAGGCGGAAGGAGTAAACCTTTCTCCCAAGGCCTGACAGGAACATTCTCATGAGAATCTGCCCTTTGCACCGAAACCTCTCTGTCAGTGTCTGCATGAAACTCATTGACCAAAGTCCCTCCTTCCTTCCTTCCTTCCTTCCTTCCTTCCTTCCTTCCTTCCTTCCTTCCTTCCTTCCCTCCCTCCCTCCCTCCCTCCCTCCCTCCCTCCCTCCCTCCCTCCCGCCCTCCTTCCTTCCTTCCCTCCCTCCCTCCCTCCTTCCTTCCTTCCTTCCTTCTTTCCTTCCCTCCTTCCTTCCTTCCCTCCTTGCTTCCCTCCTCCCTTCCTTCCTTCTTTCCTTCCTTCCCTCCTTCCTTCCTTCCTTCCTTCCCTCCCTCCCTCCCTCCTTCTCTCCTTCCTTCCTTCCCTCCTCCCTCCCTCCCTTCCTCCCTTCTTCTCCTTCCTTCCTTCCTTCCTTCCTTCCCTCCTTCCTTCCTTCCTTCCTTCTTTCCTCCTTCCCTCCCTCTCTTCCTTTCTTTCCTTCCTTCCCTCCTTCCTTCCTTCCCTCCCTCCCTCCCTCCTTCTCTCCTTCCTTCCTTCCCTCCCTCCCTCCCTCCCTCCTTCTCTCCTTCCTTCCTTCCTTCCCTCCTTCCTTCCCTCCTTGCTTCCCTCCTTCCTTCCCTCCCTTCCTTCCTTCTTTCCCTCCTTTCTCCTTCCTTCCTTCCTTCCTTCCTTCCTTCCTTCCTTCCCGCTTTCCCTCCCTCCCTCCCTCCCTCCCTCCTTCCTTCCTTCTTCTCCTTCTTCCCTTCCTTCCTCCCTTCCTCCTTCCTTCCTTCTTTCCTCCTTCCCTTCCCTCCTTCCTTCCTTCCTTCCTTCCCTTTCCTTCCTTCCTTCCTTCCTTCTCTTCCTTCCTTCCTTCCTCCTTCCTTCCTTCCCTTCCTTCCTCCTCCCTCCCTCCCTCCTCCTTTCCTTCCTTCCTTCCTTAATTAGCTGGCTTTGAGTATTTATTAAATAATTCCTTTCCTTCCTCCCTCCTTCCTTCCCTCCCTCTCCTTCCTTCCCTCCTCCCTCCCTCCCTCCTTCCTTCCTTCCTTCCTTCCTTCCTTCCTTCCTTCCTTCCTTCCGAGGGGAAGATTCCTCTTACTTCCTCTTGTGTTAGCCCTGTTCTCAACAATGAGTTGTTTGTAAGTCAGAGGATTCTAACTTGGGGATTACATGAAGCACAAATGAGCTTCATGTTTAAAATCGAGTCCCGTCTGCAAGATTCCTCATGATGTGCATCTACACAAATAACAGTCTTCCAAGAGATTTTTTATAAACCTTTGATTATTTTGGTTGCTTTGTCCTTTTTACGTGCTGCATCACACTCTTGACGTGCGTTCTGCTTGCGTTCCTCTAAGAGTCCTTCCTCGATCCCCTTTTCCAAGCCAGGCGTCCCCCATCCCCTGCCTGTGCCTTTCTCTTGCCAAAATGCTATGCCATCCCTCCTTCCGTGTTGGGGTCCGTTTTGTGTCACTCACGGTGGCCCCTCCCCCTTCTTCCTGCCAGGGCGGGGGTCTGCTCCTGGGGGGCCGCCGCCTGAGGGTGGACCTGGCCGTCAGCCGAGAGGAAGCCCAGCAGCTGCGCAGCAAGAAGGAGAAGAAGCCCACCGGCACCAGGAACCTCTACCTGGCCAGAGAAGGCCGTGAGTGGGGGGGTCGGGGGGGGGGAGGGCGAGGGGGGGCTGTGGGGACAGCCAGACTGCCCTTTGACCTCTGGAGTTGAGGTTGCATGCAACTCACCTTGTGTGCTCCAAACTTAAGCTGCCATTTCCACCTTGGTATCCCCATCTCACCTGCCTGCCTGCCTGCGGGTCAATGTCCAGGACAAAAGTGCTGGCCAAAGCTGGGGGCAATAGGGAAAGGGTCAGCAAAGTGGGTCTGCCTCATTCTCTGCGTGCTCTGCTTGGTTCTCTGGGTACATAAACTCGAAAGAGTTGGAAAAGACCCCCAAGGGCCATCCAGCCCAACCCCATCCTGCCAGGCAGGGACACTCTGTCAACACCCAGCAGAACTGCCTTGAGTCTGCTTGGTTGGGGTGTAAATAAACATCACAATTATCACATCCTTGCATAGAGAAAAAGGGATGTATAAATAAATGTAAACATAATAATAATAATAATAATAATAATAATGTCCTAGACGCTTGGGAAGTGTTTGATTTGTGATTTTGTGATACAAAATCTAGCATATAGAGCTCGTTTGCTGTGACATCACAGTATGTCACAGCAAACGTGTCAGCAAAATAATAATAATGATAATAATAATAATAATAATAATAATAATAATATAACGAGCTCTTCATAGAGTGGGAAGAGACCCCCCAAAGACCATCCAGTCCAACCCCATTCTGCCAGGCAGGGACACTCCATCAGCACCCAGTATTACTGCTTTGAGTCTCCTTGTAGTAGGGTATAAATAAATATAGTAATAATAACAACAACAATAACAATGCCTCTAGAACATGGCCATATAGCCCGAAAAAACCCACAAGAACTGAGTGATTCCGGCCATGAAAGCCTTCGACAATACATTGAACAATAACAACTGTCAACTGCAAAAGGCCCCCTGACTTGGATCTGCGCGCATCATTCGGAAATACATCACACAGTCCTAGACGCTTGGGAAGTGTTCAACTTGTGATTTTGTGATACGAAATCCAGGACAGAGATCTCATTTGCTGTGACAGACTGTGATTTTGTGTCAATAATAATAATATCCTTGTGGAGAGAAAAAGTGGGGTATAAATACACATAAACATAGTAGCAGTGGTAATAATAATAATAATAATAATTACAATAACAATACAGTAGAGTCTCGCTTCTCCAACATAAACGGGCCGGCAGAATGTTGGATAAGCAAAAATGTTGGATAATCAGGAAAAGCCAATTAAACATCAAATGACATTATGCTTTTACAAATTAAGCACCAAAACATCATGTTTTACAACAAATCAACAGAAAAAGCAGTTCAATACATGGTAACATTATGTAGTAATTACTGTATTTACAAATTTAGCACCAAAACATTCCAATCTATTGAAACAGCTGTGGATCCGGGTGGGAGAAAGACTGCAATGGATAAAACAGAACGTTGCATGAGCGAAGGTTGGATAAGTGAGGCTCTAGTGAAGGGGTCCTCAAACTAAGACCCGGGGGCCAGATGCGGCCCTCCAAGGTCATTTACCTGGCCCTCGCTCAGGGTCAACCTAAGTCTGAAACGACTTGAAAGCACACAACAACAACAATCCTATCTCATCAGCCCAAAGCAGGCCCACACTCCCCACTGAAATACTAATAAGTTTATATTTGTTTAAATTGTTCTTCATTTTAATTATCGCATCGTTTTTGCACTACAAATAAGATATGTGCAGTGTGCATAGGAATTCATTCATGTTTTGTAGTAGGGTATAAATAATAATAATAATAATAATAATAATAATAATAATAATAATAACAACAACAACCTTGTGCAGAGAAAAAGTGGGCTATAAATAAACTGAAATGTAATATAATAATAATAATAATAATAATAATAATAATAATAATAATAATAATAATCTCTTCATAGAGTGGGAAGAGACCCCCCAAAGACCATCCAGTCCATCCCCATCCTGACAGGCAGGGACACTCCATCAATACCCAGTATAACTGCTTTGAGTCTCCTTGTAGTAGGGTATAAATAAATATAATAATAGTAATAACAACAACAACAACCTTGTGGAGAGAAAAAGTGGGGTATAAATAAACTGAAATGTAATATAATAATAATAATAATAACAACAACAACCTTGTGCAGAGAAAAAGTGGGCTATAAATAAACTGAAATGTAATATAATAATAATAATAATAATAATAATAATAATAATAATAATAATAACAACCTTGTGGAGAGAAAAAGTGGGCTATAAATAAACTGAAATGTAATATAATAATAATAATAATAATAATAATAATAATAATAATCTCTTCATAGAGTGGGAAGAGATCCCCAAAGACCATCCAGCCCATCCCCATTCTGCCAGGCAGGGACACTCCATCAACACCCAGTATGACTGCTTTGAGTCTCCTTGTAGTAGGGTATAAATAAATATAATAATAGTAATAACAACAACAACAACCTTGTGGAGAGAAAAAGTGGGGTATAAATAAACTGAAATGTAATATAATAATAATAATAATAATAATAATAATAATAATAATAATAATAATAACAACAACCTTGTGCAGAGAAAAAGTGGGCTATAAATAAACTGAAATGTAATATAATAATAATAATAATAATAATAATAATAATAATATCACCAGCTCTTCATAGAGTGGGAAGACCCCAAAGACCATCTAGTCCATCCCCATCCTGACAGGCAGGGACACTCCATCAACACCCAGTATGACTGCTCTGAGTCTCCTTGTAGTAGGGTATAAATAATGATAATAATAATAACAACAACAACCTTGTGGAGAGAAAAAGTGGGCTATAAATAAACTGAAATGTAAAATAATAATAATGATAATAATAATGATAATAATAATAATAATAATAATAATTGACTGGTTGCCCTGACACGACAAATAAATTAATAAATTAATAATAATAATAATAATATAACCAGCTCTTCATAGAGTAGGAAGAGACCCCAAAGACCATCCAGCCCAACCCCATTCTGCCAGGCAGGGACTCTCCATCAACACCCAGTATGACTGCTTTGGGTCTCCTTGTAGTAGGGTATAAATCAATATCATAATAATAATATAATAATAATAATAATAATAATAATAATGGTAATAATGGTAATAATAATAATAATATAACCAGCTCTTCATAGAGTGGGAAGAGACCCCCAAAGACCATCCAGCCCAACCCCATTCTGCCAGGCAGGGACTCTCCATCAACACCCAGTATGACTGCTTTGGGTCTCCTTGTAGTAGGGTATAAATCAATATCCTAATAATAATAATAATAATAATAATAATAATAATAATAATAATAATAATAATAATGGTAATAATAATAATAATATAACCAGCTCTTCATAGAGTGGGAAGAGACCCCCAAAGACCATCCAGCCCAACCCCATTCTGCCAGGCAGGGACTCTCCATCAACACCCAGTATAACTGCTCTGAGTGTCCTTGTGTAGATAAAAAGTGGGCGATAAATAAACTGAAACATAATAATAATAATAATAATAATGCTCTTCATAGAACCATAGCATTGGAAGGAACCCCCAAAGACCACCCAGTATAACTGCTCTTAGTCTCTTTGTATAGAGAAAAAGTGGGCTATAAACTGAAACATAATAATAATAATAATAATAATAATAATAATAATAATAATAATGCTCTTCATAGAACCATAGAGTTGGAAGAGACCCCAAGGGCCATCTAGCCCAACCCTATCCTAGCATCCAGTGAGGCACAATTATTGCCCTCCTGATCCCAAGAGAGGCCCACCCAAACCCACCCCTTAGTGGGGAGGCCGCCTCCAAAGGAGTGCATTCCACCCTCAAGCAACTCTTTCGGAGAAGTTCCTCCCGATGCTTAAGTGGGTTCCTGTCCTTTGAGTACAGGAGTGTGTGCTCCCTTCCTAGGAAAGGCCTGACCCCAGCCGGCTCCTTCTTCCGCATGACGTCCCTTTTGGAATTTGGAAAATGCTTGTGGTTTTCCGGCCAGAAAAAAAGCTTGTGGGGTTTCCCCCGATTGGTCGGTGGGTGCCTTAGGCAAGGCTCCGGCTTGCAGCGAGGAGGGATGCGTCATGCCGAAGGCCCTTTGGGGCAGGGCATGGGAGCAAGGAGGTCAGCCGAGGTGAGGGCGGGGCCGGCTCCTTCTGTCCCCTTTGAACCCCCCCCCCCCCATTCTCCCGGCTGAGTAACGATGCTGATGATGCTGATGATGATGTTATTACACACCACGGCTTTTGAAGTGGATCTGTAATTGGTTAAGTGGACGAACACAGAGAGTGCTCACTAATGCTTCCTCTTCATCTTGGAAAGAAGTGACAAGTGGAGTGCCGCAGGGTTCCGTCCTGGGCCCGGTCCTGTTCAACATCTTTATTAATGACTTAGATGAAGGGCTAGAAGGCAGGATCATCAAGTTTGCAGACGGGACCAAATTGGGAGGGATAGCCAATAGTCCAGAGGACAGGAGCAGGATTCAAAACGATCTTGACAGATTAGAGAGATGGGCCAAAACTAACAAAATGAAGTTCAACAGGGACAAATGCAAGATACTCCACTTTGGCAGAAAAAATGAAATGCAAAGATACAGAATGGGGGACAATGCCTGGCTCGAGAGCAGTACGTGTGAAAAAGATCTTGGAGTCCTCGTGGACAACAAGTTAAACATGAGCCAGGAATGTGATGTGGCGGCAAAAAAAGCCAATGGGATTTTGGCCTGCATCAAGAGGAGCGTAGTGTCTAGATCTAAGGAAGTAATGCTACCCCTCTATTCTGCTTTGGTTAGACCACATCTGGAATATTGTGTCCAATTCTGGGCACCACAATTCAAGAGAGATATTGACAAGCTGGAATGTGTCCAGAGGAGGGCGACTAAAAATGATCAAGGGTCTGGAGAACAAGCCCTATGAGGAGCGGCTTAGGGAACTGGGCATGTTTAGCCTGAAGAAGAGAAGGCTGAGAGGAGATATGAT